CTACCAAATCACGTGAAAAGTGGGCTTGGGCCGCAGCTCCATTTCAGGGAATCCCAGTCTTCTGTCTGTAGCACAACGGTTATCTTTGCTCCTAGGTCTGTAAAATTTGCATTGTCTTATATGTAGTGTTGCATGATTTTGAAAACATTTTAGATAATTTATTTTGTGTAAGGTTCATGTTCTGTGAGGAAGGTGGCTTCATCTTCATTGTATGGACCTTAAAGTTGTTGGGGGCCTTTTAGCTTCTGAACCAAAGTCTAGGCTCCTTGCAATGTGCTAATAAAATGAGTGTTTCTTATGGCTGGTTTCGTTTTTTGATTTTATTTGTGCACATTTTTTGAATAGGTAATGCTGTCTTAGATTCAGTGTTTGAGAAACAAATTCTTCATGATACCCACTCTTCAGAGGGTGTTTTGCTCTCACGGCTGGTTCCTGTTTCACCGGTATCTTCGCTGCTTCCTGCCTGCCTATCATCATTGCCATCGCTGTTCTTTTGGAATGCAGGACCCCTTCAGTCTCCAAGAGAACTGATTCTCATGTCGGAATTCTCTCTAACCAATCTGTTCAGAATACTTTTATATGAATGAATGGCTCCCAGGGTGGGCCAGTTCAGAGAAGGCTGACCAAACAAGCAAAGTTACCCTGGAAATCAGAACAGGGGAAGATGTTGCAGGCTTGGGACAGTGTCTTCAATTTAAAGGGTTGTGATGTGAAACAGAGAATACGTTTTCTTCTGATGGATAGAGGTAGATTTACTGTGAAGATAATCTGATTTAAGCTTTAGGGCTATATGTGGCCCCCTTCCAAGATCCTGTACCTAATTTTGAATCTTTAAATTGCTGTTATTTCAACTAAAGACCTCCTCTGCCACCACGGAATTACAGTATATGACTTTCACAAAAACTGGAGATAGCCCTTTCCACGTGGAACCAGAGAGCAAACGGATCTAAGAGAGAAGTGAAACTCTCAGATGAGGGTATTCCTTCAATATTTTAGTTCAATACAAGAAGACCTTTCCATGGGCCAAGACGATGCCACCGGGAAGTGGGCTGTGCGGAAGGCACCTTCTATAGCTACCCACAGTTAACTGTCTCAGCAACATCCGCTCTTTGAGGCTAATAGAATTTGAATTTGTTCAAAAAGGTAAAGAGATCCCTTGATCCCCAGCTCCGAAGGGTAAATTCTGATTGGTCTAAGCCAGGCATGGTATTCTCTTTCCCTCTGGCCTTTACTTGGTCTAAGTAAGGGCAGGTACTGTAGTTCTGTCCAGAGACAGGGGCTGTGGGTACTTTCTTCTCTGAATTAAAAGACAGGCTTCAGGTAGAGGTCTTTCCTCCCTCCCTTTCATTCCTGAAACTCAAGAGAGCTGGAGATAAGGGCTAGAAGCATGAAAACCAAAGTCAACATGCTATGGGGGGCAGAGCAGAAACGGTAAAAGGGTTTAGGATCCTTACAGCATTGTTGAGGAGCGGAACCAGTACTAATGGCACCTACCTCTAGATTACTTGTGTGACAAAAATAAACTCCTTATGTGTTCAAATAACAGTTAGTTAAAATTTCCCATTACTTCAAGCCAAATGCATTTTTTACTTGATACAGCTATATTTAAGGAGAAGGCTTTCTCTGTCTCTGGTGGAAGTCAATTTTGGTGAATTTATCACAAATCTATGTCGCAGAGGGTCTCTATGTCTGGGAGAGAGGATCTGGAAAGGCAATGACTTACTGGGAATAATTTCACGTAATTAGAGTCTGAACAACTTTCTATAACGTGGGTCCTTATGTTTCATCCTCCCTTCCTCAAGTCTGCCTATTTCCTTTAGCCGGTCACCATCTTTCTCAACGTATTTCTCTGACCTCATCCACAGCCTCCTTCAATTCCACCTTTGATAGGGGACAGAAAAACAGACTGAGCAGGAAGGATGAAAAGGACACTGTTTCTCAAAACTGGTATGCTTTCCAGCAATCTAGGAAAATAAGATATGTTTGTAAGTATTGACAGAATGCGCTTCCATTTCTGATGTGTAATCAGATAAACCAGAACTTTTCAAAGGAGTAAACATCTGGTGAACATGGAGGGAGACAGTTGGGACAGGCTGAGGGACGGCACTGAAGACCCTGCAGTTTCCAAACTGGCTAATCAGACCCTTGGGAAGAAAGAATGCTTTTCAGGGGTATAAGCTTCACTCCCATCACCCAGGCAGGAGTGGCGCACAGAGATATCAGTTCACTGCAACCTCCGCCTCTTGAATTCAAGCGATTCTCTTGCCTCAGCCTCCCGAGTAGTTGGGACTACAGGTGTGCCCCTGCACCTGGCTAATTTTTGTATTTTTAGTAGAGACGGGTTTTACCATGTTGCTCAGGCCAGTCTCCAACTCCTGAGCTCAAACTCTTGAGCCTCAGGCTCCCAAAGTGCTGGGATTACAGGTGTCCAGGTGGTATTTTTAAAAGACCTTTTTTTTTTCAGTCTCACTCCGTCGCCTAGGCTGGAGTGCAATGGTACAAGCTCAGCTCACTGCAACCTCCATCTCCCGAGTTCAAACGATTCTCCTGCCTCAGCCTCCCGAGTAGCTGGGGTTACAAGCATGTACCACCACACCTAGCTAATTTTTGTATTTTTTAGAGATGGGGTTTCACCATGTTGGCCAGGCTGGTCTCCATCTACTGACCTCAAGTGATCCTCCTGCCTCGGCCTCCCAAAGTGCTGGGATTACAGACATGAGCCACCACACTCAGTCTAAAGGACTTTATTATGAAAAATTAAAAACCGGTATATGAGATAGTAGTTGAATATCCCTATCACCCAGCCTCAGTTTATGGCCCATTCTTGTTGGATCTGTACCTTCACTGCTGCTTCCCCCCGCCATATCATCATTTCTTTTTTTAATTGAGGTAAAGATGCAAGATGAGCACCAACAATTCCTCCCATCCCTGAGCACCCATGCTGCTCCTCTCATGAAGAGTGATGAAAATATTCTACAATTAGATTATGGTTGTGCTTGTACAACTCTGTGAAAATACCCAAAGCCATGGAAGTGTACATGTTAAGTGGATGAATTATATCTCAATAAAGATGTTTTTAAAAGGTGGAGAAGGAAAATTTCTCTATTTTAATAATACTTAAAGAAAAAGAGGTAGAGTCTCTTTCATCTCCCTGGAACTGGTCTGGCTCTGTGATTTGCTTAAACCAGTAACAGGCAGCAGAAGGGACGCTCTGTGACTTCTGGGTATAGCCCTTCATAGGCCTCGGAGCTTCCGTTTTCACTCTTTTTTTTTGAGATGGACTCTCACTCTGTCGCCAGGCTGGAGTGCAGTGGCGGGATCTCAGCTCACTGCAACCTCCGCCTCCCAGGTTCAAATGATTCTCCTGCCTCGGCCTCTTGAGTAGCTGGGATTATAGGCATGTGCCACCATGCCCAGCTAATTTTTGTATTTTTGGTAGAGACGGGATATCACCATGTTGGCCAAGATGGTCTTGATCTCTTAACCTTGTGATCTGCCTGCCTTGGCCTCCCAAAGTGCTGGGATTACAGGTGTGAGCCACCATGCCCGGCCCCCTGTTTCCACTCCTTTGCCACACCAACTACCCTGCCAGAGAGTGGACCAGGCAGAACTTAGCTGTTCTTTTCAGCCACCCAGCAGAGATGCCACGCAGACCAGTGAAACCACCACCTTGGCAGCTGTAACACCTGTTGAGCTGCCCAGTCAACGCCACATGGGGCAGACATGAGCTACCAAGCCTGACTACTACGTTTTTGGGTGGCCGAGGAGTGGGCAGTGCCAAATCCCCAGAGGAGGCTCAATGAGTATTTGTCTCTTCTCATTTCAGCCAGCAGAGGATCCTCAAGGTAACACCTTCCAGTGGCTCCCCCACAGGCCTCAGAGCTCTGGCCAGGGCCCACAAGACCCTTTTCTCCTTGACTGTCATCTCTTCCTCCCCTTGCTTCCTTACGTCTAGCCACTCTGGCCTACCTTGAACAGACAGGCCTGTCCCCTTCCAGGGTCTTTGCGCTTGCTGTTCCCTTTGGTTTTTCTCAGATGGCCACACGGGTCCTCCCACACCTCTTCTGGGTCTTCACTCACATGCCACCTTCTTATTGAGACCTGTCTAAAATCACAAACCCTCACTCCCTGTCCTTATTCCCGACTTTTACTTTTCTGTTTAGCATTTACCATGTCTATCAGTATTTAATTTCACTAATTTATCTTGTTTATTTTCTGTCTCTCCTGTTATAATGTAAATTCCAGGAAGGATTTTTGTCTGTCTTGGTTGTCTATCTCGTGTCTAGAACACAGAACCCATAGTAGGCACTTCAATTAATTACTTGTAGAATGAATGGCCTGAATGTCACCTTGTTACAGAGTACCCTCCTGACCACACTCTGTTAAGTGGAGACGGGGGTTTCACTATGTTGGTCAGGCTGGTCTTGAACTCCTGACCTTGTGATCCGCCCGCCTGCACCTCCCACAGTGCTGGGATTAGCAATCTTTTATTTCTCTTTCCCAGTTGTATTTTTCTTCATTTACACTTAATCACCTTTTGACACCTATTTGTTTACTGTCTCTCTCCCCAGTAGAGTGAAAGTTACTTTAACAGCAGAGATTTACATTTATTTTAATCCCTACAAAGGAGAAAAAGGGAGGAGATACATGGCAGGCTCTCAGCAAGTATTTGCAGAAGGAATTAATTTCTTGAACGAATGGATGAATGAATCTAGCAGCCAGCTCCACCAGCCTCCTTCGTGATAGGACCAACCCGGGGTCTGTCTGCGGGCATTCATCGCCTCCGCGGGCGCAGGGCCGCAGCGGCAGCTGGGTTTCCGAGCAGGCGCTGGGTTTCGGCAGCGCAGCGTTAAACCAGCCGCGGACGCCCGGCTACCGCCGCTAGTTCCAGCCCGACCCGGCCCAGCATCGCCGGCTTTTCCCCAGTCGCCGCGCCGGCCAGTTTCCGGGGCGGTGTCATCGCCCGTTTAAGAGCAGAGCGCCCCGCCCTGGGGGCGGAGCTGGGAAGGAGGTTTAAGGGGAGGACGGGCGGGAGGCCGGGGTCCTCCGGGGATTAGAGCGGGTGGGCTCGCCGCGGGCGCCATTTTTTGGCGTCTCCCGAGGAGGCGCCCCCTCCTCACCCTTGCTCGGCTTTTCTCCCCTCTGGTCGCCGGGGTCGCGTGGGCCCCAGCTCAGGTAAGCGCGAGGCCCGGCGGCGCCGCAGTGCAGCCCGCTGCCCTCCCAGCCGAGCGGACCCCTCCTCGCCCGCGCCCGAGGTGGCGGCCTTGTCCCCGGGGAGCCGGGCGGGGGCCGCTCCCGGACCTTAGGGCGGCCGGCCCCTGGCTGGTCTGGCTGGCAGGACATTAACCCCGCGGGAGGGAGGGGCGGCGGCGGCCAATGAGGCAGGGCTGCCGAGTTTCAGGCGATACCGCGCGACGGGCGGGAGCGGAGGGCCCGGGGCAGCCGGGTTAATGTTTGCCGGGCGGACTCGCTCCCCGGGCCGTGGGCACCCCTCACGGGGCCGCAGGGCTGCCGTCCAGCGGGACGAGTTTGTGTCATGGTCTTGGTGGACTTTTGCAGCTAACTTGTATTTGAGTAAAACTTCAGACCCCGGGAGTGCAGAGGCAGGTGTGCTCCCCGGAAAGACCCGATCTGAAGGGCCCGCCCCGCCCCCACGGGGGACGTTTGTCGTGCTAATGATGGGTTCTTTGGTGTGTAAACGTTAATTGTCTCTGTGGTTACTTGAATTCTATCTCAGAGCGAGACGCAGCTTTTAAAAGGTTTGGCAGTATTTTAGACTAATCATATCAGTTTTTTAAAAATGACGGGGAAAATTCTCATAACCATGTCCATTTCTGACGTCACCCGCAACTGCATTAACTCAATTTCTAACATAACCTGTTGCTGAGCTCTGCTTAACCTTGTTGGCTTATTTGTGCATATAAGATGGTGTGCAGGTTTAGGCCAACTTTATTCAAAACGGTATGCATAACTGTTGTGGAATTAGTCGCTTGCATTTTCTTCATTGGGATTACCGGGACAAAACACACTGTTCCCTTCGTGGCGTTTGCTGTATATTGTTATATTGCTTTGTCAAAAAGCATACCATATTGTGGCCACCAGCCATGTAAGAATATGCATATTTCATGACTAACTTTTGGGTTTTGGATGCTTTTTTTTTTAACCAACTTGTTAATTTAGGATTGCTTAAATTTGCATTTTATGATTCTAAAGGAAATCCTTCTAGTTCCCTGTTGAAAAGTTAGAAACTACAGAGTGGAAACTACTGTTTTTGGAAGCCACATATACCTACCATCCAAAAATCCCACTGTGTCATTCTAGTGTGTCAGGCGAGCTTTTTATTGAGTGGCTGACATGCGGGTTGTTCAGCCAGCTGTTGGGTCAAAGCTAGCTTGTGGTGAACAAGTCAGACGAAGTCTTTGTCCTTGTATGTGAGTGGGGGAAGTAGCCAGTAAAAAAATAATAATTAACAGGTATTTAATTACAATTTCTTTGTTATAAAGAAGAGGCCAAGAGTACTGAAAGGGACATCTAATTTAGACTCAAAGTCTGAGATTGCTTTTCTGAGAATAAGACATTTAAGTCTGAAGTTAGTCCAATGAAGTGGGAGTGGGTGGAGGAGAGGTGAAGTGGAAAAAGAACATTCCAGAAAGGTGGAACAGCTCATGAAAAATAGTCCAGAATTAAAAAGACTTTTGGGCGGAGCAGAAAGAGTAGAAGAGCACAGCAAACAGTGGGGACTAGGCTGACAGATGGGTCTGGCAAGTAGGAGGAGCTGCCTCAGGGACCAGGACCACTAGAGATTTTAGAACAGGGATCAGACTTGTGGTTGCTGAGAATCCAGCACTGCAACATGAAGAGTGGAATTGGGAGATGGCAGGTGGGAAGGGAAAAGTGAGTATGGGAAAACTTTTTAAACCATCATTTAAAAAAACCTTTCAGTAACCCATTTGTTTATTATTTTTTTTCATTAAAAAAAATAGATGGGGTCTTGCTATGTTGCCCAGGCCAGGTCTTGAACTCCTGGCCTCCAACAGTCCTCCTGCCTTAGCCTCCCAAAGTGCTGGGATTACAGATGTGAGCCACTGTACCCGGCCATATATTCTTGTTGTGATCTCTGTCATGCCCCTCTCCAGAGAGAATTTCACTGAGCAGTTTACCTGTGTGTCTGTTTAGTGTCTCTGTGTGTGCGCGCATATTCCACCTCAGTGTAGGATAAAACTCTCTTCAGTGTTCTGTGATTTGAAATTTGAATTTATTTGTATTTTAGCTGAAATTAGTGATTGCTTTTATATTTTTATTATGAATGCTCAGAAAAGAAATGGAACTTCTCAGAATTTTTATGGTCATGAAAGGATATCTTAGTGCCTCACATCATCTTGGGATATACAAGATGTTGTGCATATAATTTATCTATTTAGAAGACCTGAGGAACTTCACGAATGTTTGCCCTCTCCTGCCAAATCAGTGCCTGATAAAATAGTCCAGTAAATTTAGAAAGCTCCAAACCATGGCTGTGTCTTATACATAAAAGTCTTTTAAAACTTTTTGAATTAAAGTAGCCAGCTTTTTAAATTAATTGGCTTTTTAATTGGCAAATAAAAATTGTGTATATTTATCATGTAAATATGTCTTGAACTTTTTATAAAAAGTAGCCAGTTTTAATGATTTTTTTCAAATTTACTTGACCAGGAGCCCTTTTTATTTTTTATTTTGTTTACTTATTTTTTGAGACAGGGTCTTGCTCTGTTGCCTGAGCTGGAATGCAGTGGCGCAATCCCAGCGCACTGCAGCTTTGACTGCCTGGGGTCAAGTGATCCTTGATCCCAGCCCCTCGAGAAGCTGGGACCACAGGCATGCACCACCACACCTGGCTAATTTTATTTTTAGTAGTGATTAGGTCTCACTCTGTTGACCAGGCTGGTCTTGAATTCCTGGGCTCTAGCAATCCTCCCACCTGAGTCTCCCAAAATATTGGGATTGCAGGTATGAGTCACTGCACCCAGCTCAGGAGCCCTTTTTAGTAGTATTTCTACTAATATCCACAGGACTTGACCAAATAATGCCATTTGACTGACTGCTTGTTGTGGAGAATCTCATTTTTTTTTTCTGATGCCATCTTTTTCTCTCTGCTTTTATAGCGACAAAAATGCTGAGTTTCTTCCGTAGAACACTAGGGCGTCGGTCTATGCGTAAACATGCAGAGAAGGAACGACTCCGAGAAGCACAACGCGCTGCCACACATATTCCTGCAGCTGGAGATTCTAAGTCCATCATCACATGTCGGGTGTCCCTTCTGGATGGTACTGATGTTAGTGTGGACTTGCCAGTAAGTAGGTCTTGCTGAGCTCCAAATTCTGTTTGCAAGTACTGTCTTTTTTTTTTTTTTAAAAGCTTTGATGGATAACTTCTGGATGGAAATAGATAGAGGTAATATGGGTTAGTATGGATCAGGTACATGTGTCAGATAACTGTAGACCAAAAGTACTTGGCTGGATGGTATTTCTCTTTGGAATTAGTGGCAATTGCCCGAAACATTTAAATGATAGGGCAGTTATTGGCATGAGTCCCTTTCGTGTGTATTTATATGTGTTCTTTATGATGACAGCATATAATGTAGTCTAGCAGATTTCTCACAATCCTTGTTGAACAATTATTAAAACATTGAGAATCTTTGAGAATAACAACACTTACATGTGTACTGTAAGGCTTTTAACTTTTTATGCACTTCTCTGTTTTTTAAAACTCTCCTTATTTTCTTCAAAATAAGTATTTCCCCACGATTTGGTTTACTTGCAGACATCAGTGAAATGAAGGGAGAAAAAGGACTTTCTTCATAACCCTCAGCTCTGACTGCCTGTCTCTTTGCTCCCAAAGTATTTTGCATTGTAGGTTTTTCATACACTGTAGTCTTTATCTCAGACAGGCTGTTGTAATTATATCTGTATTTTGGATAGGTGTTTTTTTTTTTTTTTTCCAGAAATGCATAATCATAACTCAGTGTGAAAAGATCCAGTATATTTGAAAGGGGTTAGCTTATTTTTTTTTACAGGTGTTTTTGGGTGGAGGGGGAGAAGAAAAGGTTGGCTTTTTGGTTTTGGGCAGTTGAATTTTTTTTTCTGAGCTGCTTACTAATACCAAATCTCTTTCCCATGTCTTTGTGCTGCATTCAAAAACTTACTGTAAATTACGTCATTTGATGTGAGCTTCATAGGATGTTCCGTAATGCCTTTCCTCCCCACAAACTTTTTAATACACACTCATTTACTGAAAATTCAATTTAAAAAGTCTCTGGGCAAAGCGATAGCCTAGATGCTGCTGTAATACATGATTGAATTAGCTCTAGAAGGCCTTAATGAAGTGAAGTGAGAGTATAAGGAATTGGGGGTTTTATTTAAATGAATGTTCTGATTAACTTAATCATTTGGAATGTATTAGATATGTACCTTATACATTTAAAAATGTTAGAATATGATAAAATTAAAGACTTACGATTTCTTGAAGTATTTTGAAGTCATCATTACATGTATTTGTTATCTTTGTCTATAAGGTGTATATTTTTAGGGTTTTTGATTCTGGACAACTTGAAAGCATCTAAATTTTCCTGCTGTAAGGGCTTCTTGAGGGTTTGTCAGACATTCCAGCAGGAGATATTTTGTGAGGATAGTTTTCATACTTATTTCTAATTTGATAAGAATCTTTAAGAGTTTTGTGTACTATTCCATTAAAATATCATTAGACATGTGGTGAAAAGGCTGAGATTGCTGTGTAAGAGACTGGAAAGAAGTTTCTTGTTACCTAATGTTTGAAGTATGAAGTCTCAGGGTTGTTGATGGATAAGCTGATACTAGGAGAGTAGAATTTGTGAAAAAGCTTTTTAAAAAGGCAGTGGGGCATGGAGGAGAGATATAGCACTAGCTTTTAAAGTAGTAGAACAAATGACTAGTTACTGGTCTAGAATGGTTTCCTAAACCTTGCACGTTTAGCTGGGTGTATGTGATTCCAGATCAAGTCCATAAGCTAGCTGGCCTCTCAGGAGACAATTATAGTGAAACAGCTGGAGTTTTAGATTTGACTTTTTGTGAAACAAGAACAGTTGTCATCCAGGTGCGGTGGCTTACCCCGTAATTATAGCACTTCGGGAGGCTGAGGCAGGCAGATCACCTGAGGCCAGGAGTTTGAGACCAGCCTGACCAATACAGTGAAACCCTATGTCTACTAAAAATAGAAAAATTAGCTGGGCATGGTGGCATGCACCTATAATCCCAGCTATTCAGGAGGCTGAGGCAGGAGAATCGCTTGAACCCGGGAGGCAGAGATTACAGTAAGCTGAGATCGTGCCACAGCACTACAACCTCGTTGACAGAGCATGACTTCTTCAAAAAAAAAAGGGGAGAACAATTGTCTTTTCAGACCTGTAGGTGAAATTGTAGTTGTTAACCTAACTCTAGGTGCATGCATGGATATAAAGAGGTCCTTGGCCTATTTTACTAAATTGTCACTAAAGGAAAAAATAGGCCAGAAGAATAATAATTTCTAAAAAAGAAAGAATGATTTCCCCTTTTCTGATTTATTTTCTCAACCAGTCTACTGTGATTCTAGAAGAAGATTTAGAATTGATTTTGGAAATTGAGTGAAACACATACTCATTTTCCATTACGATAAGAGTCACTAGTGATTATAGCTAGCCATCTTCTTCTTTAAAAAACAAACAAACAAACAAACTAGAGTAAGAATGCCTTTCAGTGAATGACAAAGGTATCAAGTAGAAATTTCTATCTAATTTTTAAGTTTTCTCTTTGAAAATACTACGGTAAACTTGTTTAGGAGCTTAGTATTAGTAAATAGCATGTCGTGTAAAACTCTCCTAAGTTTTAAATTAGGAAATGTTTGGCCAATTAACCAATAGATAACAATTTTTTTTCCTTTTTTAAAAAGTTTTGGGATACCTGTGTAGAACATGCAGGTTTGTTACATAGGTATACACATACCATGGTGGTTTGTTGCACCCATCAACCTGTCATCTACATTAGATATTTCTCCTAATGGTATCCCTCCTCTAGGCCCCCAACTTCCAACAGGCCACAGTGTGTGATGTTCCTCTCCCTGTGTCCATATGTTCTTATTCTTCAGTTCCCAATTATGAGTGAGAACATATGGTGTTTGGTTTTCTGTTCCTATGTTAGTTTGCTGAAAATGATGGTTTCAGCTTCATCCATGTCCCGGCAAAGGAAATGAACTCATTCTTTTTTATGGCTGCATAGTATTCAGTGGTATATATGTGCCACATTTTCCTTATCCAGTCTGTCATTGATGGGCATTTGGGTTGGTTCCAATTCTTTGCTATTGTGAACAGTGCTGCAGTAAACATACGAGTACATGTGTCTTTATAGTAGAATGATTCATAATCTTTTGGGTATATACTCAGTAATGGGATTGCTGAGTCAAATGGTATCTGCTTCTAGAACCTTGAGGAATCACCACACTGTCTTCCACAATGGTTAAACTAATTTGCACTCCCATTAACAGTGTAAAAGTGTTCTATTTCTCCACATCCTCTCCAGCATCTGTTGTTTCCTGACTTTTTAATGATTGCCTTTCTAACGGGCGTGGGATGGTATCTCATTGTGGTTTTGATTTGCATTTCTCTAATGACTAGTGATGATGAACTTTTTTTCATATAGTAATTGGCCACATAAATGTCATCTTTTGAGAAGTGTCTGTTCATATCCTTCACTCACTTTTTGATGGAGTTGTTTGTTTTTCTCTTGTAAATTTGTTTAAGTTCCTTGTAGGTTCTGATATTAGCCCTTTGTCAGATGGAAAGATTACAAAAATTTTCTCCCATTCTATAGGTTGCCTGTTTACTCTGATGATAGTTTCTTTTGCTGTGCAGAAGCTCTTTAGTTTAATTAGATCCCATTTGTCAGTTTTGGCTTTTGTTGCCATTGCTTTTGGTGTTTTAGTCATGAAGTCTTTGCCCATGCCTATGTCCTGAATGGTGTTGCCTAGGTTTTCTTCTGGAGTTTTTATGGTTTTAAGTCTTACGTGTAAGTCCTTAATTCATCTTGAGTTAACTTTTGTGTAAGGTGTAAGGAAGGGGTCCTGTTTCACTTTTCTGCATATGGCTAGTCAGTTTTCCCAACACCATTTATTAAATAGGGAATCCTTTCCCCATTGCTTTTTTTTGTCAGGTTTGTCAAAGATCAGATGGTTGTAGATGAGTGGGGTTATTTCTGAGGCCTCTGTTCTGTTCCATTGGTCTATATATCTGTTTTAGTACCAGTACCATGCTGTTTTGGTTACTGTAGCCTTTTAGTATAGTTTGAAGTCAGGTATCTTGATGCCTCCAACTTTGTTCATTTTGCTTAGGATTGTCTTGGCTATGTGGGCTTTTTTTTGGTGCCATATGAAATTTAAAGTAGTTTTTTCTAATTTTGTGAAGAAAGTCAAGGGTAGCTTGATGGGGATAACGTTAAATCTATAAATTACTTTGGGCAGTATGACCATTTTCACAGTATTGATTCTTCCTATCCATGAGCATGGAACGTTTTTCCATTTGTTTGTGTCCTCTCTTATTTCCCTGAGCAGTGGTTTGTAGTTCTTGAAGAGGTCTTTCACATTCCTTCTGAGTTGTATTCCTAGATATTTTATTATCTTTGTAGCAACTGTGAATGGGAGTTCACTTATGATTTGCCTCTTTGTTTGTCTATTATTGGTGTATATGAATGCTTGTGATTTTTGCACATTGATTTTGTATCCTGAGACTTTGCTGAAGTTGCTTATCAGCTCAAGGAGATTTTGGGCTGAGACAATGGGGTTTTCTTTTAGATTTTTTTTTTTTGACATTTCACGTTTTTATTTCTCTCAGAACTTTAAAATGTTAACACTGCATCCATCAGCCAGTCTTTACTTCCAGGTATATTCTTCATTGGGTCGCAATTCCCTTTTATATAACATACTCTTGTTCCGGAAGGCAGTTAGCTTTTCATCATTCTTTCTGTCAAGGTAACATCCAAGGACAAATCCCATAGGGACAAAAAGAAGAACCCACTGGTCCCGCACAAGTTGAAGGAAGCTCACCATGATCGCTGCAGGTCCAGTGGCAACAGCGACCGGACACCCCAATGTATAATCATGTCATATACAAAAAGAGACAATTTGACGTTCTCTCTTCTATTTGAATACCTTTATTTCTTTCTCTTGCTTAATTTCCCCAGAACTTTAATACTATGTTGAATAGGAGTGGTGAGAGAGACCATCCTTGTCTTGTGCTAGTTTTCAAAGGGAATGCGTCCACCTTTTGCCCATTCAGTATGATACTGGCTGTGGGTTTATCATAAATAGCTTTTATTATTTTGAGATACATTCTATCGATACCTAGTTTATAGAGTTTTTAGCATGAAAAAGGCCCTTTCTGCATCTATTGAGATAATTATGTGGTTTTTATCATTGGTTCTGTTTATGTGATGGATTATGTTTATTTGTGTATGTTGAACCAGCATCCCAGGGATGAAGCTGACTTGATTGTGGCAGATGAGCTTTTTGCTGTGCTGCTGGATTTGATTTGCCAGTATTTTATTGATGATTTTCGCATAGATGTTCATGAAGGATATTGGCCTGAAATTTTCTTTTTTGGTTGTGTCTGCCAGGTTTTGGTATCAGGATGATGCTGGTCTCATGAGTTAGGGAGGAGTCCCTCTTTTTCTGTTGTTTGGAATAGTTTCAGAAGGAATGATACCAGCTCCTCTTTGTACCTCTGGTAGGATTACTGCCTCAATTTAGGAACTTGTTATTGGTCTATTCAGGGATTTGACTTCTTCCTCGTTTAGTCTTGGGAGGGTATTCGTGTCCAGGAATTTATCCATTTCTTCTAGATTTTCTAGTTTAATTGCGTAGAAGTGTTTATAGTATTCTCTGATGGTAGTTTGTGTTTTCTGTGGGATCAGCGGTGTTATCTCCCCTTTATCATTTTTTATTGTCTGTTTGATCCTTCTCTCTTTTCTTCTTTATTAGTCTGGCCAGCAATTAGTCTGGCTCTTTTCTTCTTTATTAGTCTGGCTATTAATCTTTTCAAAAAACTAGCTCCTGGATTCATTGATTTTTTTTGAAGAGTTTTTCATATCTCTGTCTCCTTCAGTTCTGCTCTGATCTTAGTTATGTCTTGTCTTCTGCTAGCTTTTGAATTTGTTTACTCTTGCTTCTCTAATTCTTTTAATTGTGATGTCAGGGTGTCAATTTTAGATTTTTTCTGTTTTCTCCTGTGGGCATTTAGTGCCATAAATTTCCCTCTAAACAGTGCTTTAGCTGTGTTCCAGATATTCTGGTATGTTGTATCTTTGTTCTCATTGGTTTGAAAGAGCTTATTTATTACTGTCTTAATTTTGTTATTTACTCAGTAGTCATTCAGGAGCTGGTTGTTCATTTTCCATGTAGTTGTGTGATTTTGAGTGAGTATCTTAATCCTGAGTTCTAATTTGATTGCACTATAGTCTTAGAGACTGTTTGTTATAATTTCTGTTCTTTTGCATTTGCTGAGGAGTGTCTTCCAATTATGTGGTCATTTTTAGAATAAATGAGATGTGCTGAGAAGACTGTATATTCTGTTGATTTGGGGTGGACAGTTATATAGATGCCTATTAGGTCTGCTTGGTCCAGAGCTGAGTTCAAGTCCTGAATATCCTTGTTAACTTTCTGTCTTTTTAATCTAGTATTGACAGTGAGGAAAGTTTCCTACTATTATTGTGTGGGAGTCTAAGTCTCTTCGTAGATCTCTAAGAACTTGCTTAATGACTATGGGTGCATATATATTTAGGATAGTTAGCTCTTCTTGTTGCATTGATCCCTTTACCATTTATGTAATACCCTTCTTTGTCTTTTATCTTTGTTGGTTTAAAGTCTGTTTTATCAGAGACTAGGATTGCAACCCCTGCTGTTTTTGTTGTTGTTGTTGTTTGTTTTTTTGGGGGGATTTTTTTGCTTTCCATTTGCTTGATAAATCTTCCTCCATCCCTTTATTTTGAGCCTATATTTGTCTTTGCACATGAAATGGGTCTCCTGAATACAGCACACTGATGGGTCTTGTCTCTTAATCCAGTTTGCCAGTCTGTTTCTTTTAATTGGGACATTTAGCCATTTACATTTAAGGTTAATAGATAACAATTTTTATATATCTTATATACTTTACTGATACAGATTCTAAAGGCTTTAAGTTATATAAGACCATGTATAGCTATAATTTTAAATACATGAAAACCATCCCATGTTCATGAATTTGAAGACTTAAGGTTGGTAGGATGGCAGTACACCTCAAATTGATTTACACATTCATTGCAGTCCCATGAGAATTCCAGCTGACCTACTTGTAGGAATTTACAAGCTGATTCTAAAATTCATAAGGAATTGCAAGAACCTGTTAATAGCTAGAACAATATGGAAAAACAATAAGAGGACACATACTTCCAATTTTAGGACTTACTACAAAGCAACAGTAAGTTGGTGTGCTACTAGCACAAGGATAGACACATACATCAGTGGAACAGAATAGAGAACTCAGAAATAAACCCATACAGTCAACTGATTTTTTTTTTTTTTTTTTTTTTT